ACTGTATCCCACCATGATCCGGCCTATATTGGAATACGGTGCACCAGCTTTCTCCCGACTTACGAAAGCCGAAGCCCGAAAGCTCGAACGTGTCCAACACCTCGTTACAAAGATGGTTCCTAGTCTACGGAGTCTTTTTTATTCTGAGAGATGCAGCAAACAGAAACTGTTCACACTTGAATACAGACGTCTCTGGATTGATCTTATCTATGTTTTCCGTGTTTTGTGCCTAAAACATTTTCCGCAGTTGATGTTCTTGTTTGATATTCCAACAACCAACATCACCCAAGGACATCGATTTAAACTTACTGTCACACGCATGGACAATGTGCCTCATGGGTACATTTTCTATCGCCGCGTTGTCATTTTGGAATCGTTTACCGGCAAATGCCGTTCAGTCAGAAACAGTTCAAATTTTCAAACGAAAGATGAATGAACATTAATGTGATCTATCCTTCTGTGAAGATATCTCTTCCGCTCTGGTCCCGAAAGTTAGCTATTCCACTAGCGGAGGGCGTACATTCAGTCAGAAACAGTTCAAATTTTCAAACGAAATTCGGATGAACATTAATGTGATCTATCCTTCTGTGAAGATATCTCTTCCGCTCTGGTCCCGAAAGTTAGCTATTCCACTAGCGGACCAAGGGCGTACATGGAGTGATATTCGCATTTTTTTCTCGATGGAGTGTACACAGAATTTTTCTTTTGCTTCAAATATATGATTCTGATTCTGCATCATCCACGATGCCGCCTTATTCAGTGAACTCAAATTACAAACAAAATGCCAGTACGAAACTGAGCAAATGGATGCACTTGTAATTTCAACCCTGAAGATAGGTTAGGTCCTAGTCGAAATCATAAGGACGAATGAAAACAACGGGAGAATAGAAGAAATTGACGAAAACCACCAACCTTGAAATTCGTTTTTAGCGCGGTTACCAGTTCGCTCGGCTTCGAAAGCGCACTCACGCTATTCGTATCGTGTTAATTGAAACCCGATCTCCTGATGCCTGAAAAAAACGAACGGCCCTGACGTCCTACACCGGCGAACCCTTCGACGCACTGACCAGACTGAAAATTAAGGATGTTCACTCTAAGGTGAATACTGCTCACAAAACAGCAAACACAAACAAACTAGATCTGAAAAAGTAAAACTTCCGCATGAAGCTGGATAATCATATTGATTAGTCAAATGGCGACCAACAAATGACGAAATATTGCCGGCAAATGCACCTACCAGAGCGCGCACAGTTCAAGCACTATTTCGCTTGTAAGCCGTCTGGGCCGCTCACTAGAAGCATGTGGTGTTTTGCGAGTCAATATTACATTTTCCCCATTTTCTACTCTCTCCATATAAACTTGAATTGCAATTTGTAAACACTGTATACGTATCATGACATTTTGTTTTATTGTACCAATAATTACATTAAAATCGAAAATGGTGGAAATACACATTTTCTTGCTGCGACTTCCTGCATTTTGCCGAGTCAGTGAAATTGCATCCGATTGGACTGATTGCTGTTTGCTGAAGTCGTGGGATTGGATTATTGTGTTTGCGTGTGAACTGTTGAACGTCACAATAACTCCTTGTGACAATTTTCAGCTGTGATAACTTCCTACCGTGGAATTTACTTCTAACACTCGAACTATCAGTGGAGAATATCCTTCTTACTCTGGATATATTCTTCGCCGCAGAATAGGATTACTGCACAACATTTCGTGTAGTGGGATTATTGGACCCTTCAATTTAGTGAGTCCGTTCCATTCACTTGTCCATTTCTTATTGCCATTTGTTATTTCTAATCTGATATTTTGACTGTATATTTTATTGAACACGCATACTTAGGTCCGTGTCCGCTACAAGCATGCCCTAACTCATAGCAATTTACTGAAGTGAGCGAAAGGTCACAGTCATCAACCGCTACCGATTCGCATTCCTGAAAGGCTTACGAGATTGGGCACGAAATCAAGCTTTAGCATACTGCAGCACCACTAGATGATTACTATAGGTGACATAACATCCACAGAATGCGTTCCTCTGCAAAACGCTTGTGGGTGAGATAAAAACTTTTATATCAAAATGTCGCACTGCTTTGCATATGTGCTCAGTCCAAAAATCACCCATATGCGCCATCGCTTTTTTGCGATTTGTTCTAATTAATATACTTTCGAAATGTTTGGCGCAAATTCGACTTCGAACTTGGTGTGCTATGGCCTTGGGAGAGGCTTCACAAGCGTTTTTTGAGAGATTTGTGGCTGTGTTGCTTTAACTTTTTACGGCATTTGAGAAGGCCCTAAATCAACGCACGAAGGATAACTTTGTGTTATTTATGCCTTCATCCAGTAATCGAAGCACAAACGCTGTGTTGCGTTACCAATGAGTGTACTACAAACGCAGCAGGCGACCTCCAAGAACAACGGAAAGCCGGAGAATTAGAAGAAGCTAGTAAGCCGAGCGTATTTTCCAATAAAAAGTACTCAATGCACCAGCCCTCCACTGTGGTTTTGTCTACGGAGGCAAAGGAACCAACCGCCGGTCACCTCCTGTTTTCTTGAACACGACCACTAGTTGTCAAAGTTTCTGTACGACCGGCTTCCAATTGATCGACTGTTAACCGAAGACGAGTTGGGCACCTGAAAGGCTCTCCTGGGATACGGAAAGCCGTCATGTGAACTGCGGCGATTTGTGGAGGATGAATTCGGCATGATTCTTACCACTCAGGATATACACAAATACCGCAGGAAGTGTCGACCGGCTATTTTGAGTAGGTAGGGTTTCAGTGTTGCGGGTGATATGTCTCCGGTCTTGGCAAAACTTCGAGAGCCTGGACGCGTGCTTATGTAGGGTCGCTATGGCCACATATGCTTCTCCTAATGGCAGCAGATAGCGTCGTTCCGACTCTCTGCAGATGTAGTGAATGTAGACGGAACGCATGCAACAAACCGCCTTGGGTAAGATTAAAAAACATCTAATATTCTGATGTAGATATAAGCTTCCCGCCTTCATGATGGCGGACAGGATGGAAACCGGGGGTCCGGTTTTCTATGCATTCGTAGAGGGCGAACAGTTTGCTCCAATGCGTAGATTGTTCGACTTATTCAAGGAAATGATGGGCAAAACTTATCGGGTTAAGAATTTTGCTATGGATAAGTTGGAAGTGCTTATGCATGCAGCAAGAGTCATATTCGGCTGCGACATGATGCTCTGCTATTTTCATGCCTGAAAAGCCACCAGGAAGCACGTATGTATCACCTAATATCAGTGTATTTTTGATCATGGACACATTCTGCGAACAGCCGGCGCATATTTCAGCACATGACTCGCCTGGACAGTGCTGAACAGTGGGTATTTTGTTCATCGATTTACGAACACAGATTCCGGCGAGACCTTCCGTTTCTGCGCCACACCGATCCTCGATTTGTTCCCTATCTTACGGCCTGCTGGCCATTCATCACCTGAAAGTGGGCCAAACCCGTACAGTCCGAAATGGTTCATTTCGGTAATGTGACCAACAACCGCGTAGAGAATGTGAACGGCCATCTTAAGGACCGGGTGCACCACTCCGACACGTTGTGGCATGTAATTCAAAAGGTTTTTCGGTGCGCCGAGTGTCTCGTGTGGGAATATGAGATGCACACATCGTACCACTGCGACAGACGTGTGTACATCAGCTAGGTTCATTCAGCTGTCCGCTGATCGACGTGGGTTCCATGTTGCTAATCAACAAGCCTTGGGGACTTCTAGGCATAATTCGCAGCCTACAATAGAAATTCCTGCTTTTCGCCAGCAAACGTGCAAGACTTTCAGCAAATAATTAACGTGGGCTACGGAATCTCAAGTGGCAACGTGCATTATGGACGCATATTTTGCATCTCCAAAGGCCATGTAGATTCTAGAATGTTCAGAGAATTGTTACAGGCGGAAAAATATCTGAAAGTTTCGTCCACTGTATGCGAGTCAACGTTTTCCATATTTCGTGATTTTTTATTACATCAGGCAAGGCATTCACGGACGGTGGTGTTTATTCACCTTAGGGATTCGCTCACTTCAACAAAGCGCCGTAATTGATGATTTCCACTAATGCAGAAGCACATATATTATACATGGACATTCTACACTATGAAGTGGCAAGCCTGAAAATGCCGTAGCTTTCGGAAAATCAGTCCCATTGTGCGAATACTGAGCTGCACAGAATAAGAGTTACATTTCAAATGTAACAAATCAGATGAATTAGTTCAGCGAACTTCAGAAAAACACGGTTTTTTTAGGAAGACCGCCTCCCGTTCAGCACAATTATGAAGGCGATTCTGGTGCAATAAGCAGTATTGATGATGGCTGGGCGGTCCCCATTCTCTGGTATGCACAACTAATCAGCCGATCGTGCAGCATTATGAAAGAACTGCATGCTAATTAACAACACAACAATGTGTTCCCCATTGGAAACTCTTGCTATCCTTGTTGGAAGTGGTTATGAAGCCCAACAACATTGACTGAAAATAGGGCCAAATATTTGGGGATCCCACGCTAACAATACGCGCTGTCGTCTACCTTGGCTACTTATCATTAATGCTCGGCCCGTGTCTATGTGCGACAATGACAATGAGGGGTCCGTTAAGCACAGTAACCTAATGCAGGGGCCCTACACATACTCTCACGCGTTGTAGTTAACCCTTGCTGCATATAGTAAATACCATGTCAGATATATACGGGCCGATGCATATTAGGCCTCAATCATTTCAGCCCTCAACATTACCTGACAGACCAGCCCAATGGGCAAAGACGGTCGTCCATATTCACACGTGATGTCCATCTGTCAAGCCAACGCCTGGCGAAGTATACGTTTCTGTTTGTTAGTTACACCGATACATACTTAATGTGTAGTGAATCCCGTTCTCATTCTCAAGAGGCCGCTTTCATTAGGCAGGGTTCCTGGAAAGATAAGTAGATAATCATTCACAAGTGGTGTAAATCTGCGGAAAAAGTTGTAGAGGCTACCACACCAATTAAGGAATAACTCCCGTTGTTCGCAAAGCCTGAACGGTGTACACGGAAGCCGGAGTCTCAATGTTATATGGATAAACTTACTACTTACTCAAATAGTCCTTTTGGCGATAATGAGGAATCCGTGTGTTTAACGATAATGCGACAGCAAAAGGCAATAATCGCATGCATTACTGGACGCAGTGAAACTAGAGCGAAATTAGAAACCGGTGATACAGACTTGGGACATAGGAATCAAGGACCGCGTGCGTCTTCATATGGGCATCCAATCATGTAGTAGTGGCGTAGAGCCAGTGAATTTGTAGGTAAATTGTACCATATCTGTTCATTTCGAGCACTAAATCCCAATTTCACTCCACCTGTGAATTGTGATGCCAATACCCTGAGGCTCAATAGAAGCAACAGCTCCGTCGTCCTAATCAAAACTTGCAATCATATTGTGTTCAATGGCAGTAGCAATCACTGACCAGCGGTCTTTTCCGGGAAACCGATTATCAACTCCCGTGGGTGAGTTTGGGAATCGAGCGGTTTGTAACCTTCAATATCCAGTGATTTTTTCAAATGTTTCCACACCTCAAACACATGAAGAAAGCCACTAGCTGTTTCACGCTAATCGAATACCCTTTCATGTCTGCCACATAAGTTGGGGCCTCATGCAAATCATGTCCAAAATATCCTTAAAAACGAGCAAGTAAGACAAGCATTACTGATGCCATCCAACTGCCTTATTGCGTAGGAACAGAAAAACTCCTCCAACTCACACCAAATGCCACACGTCACCACATTTTTTACCAAACTCGCCTTTGACCTATAAGTGCTTGATAGACCATGACTCCAAAGAATCCATGCTCTCAATGGGCCTTACCTGCCAATCCTTATTTCTACTACCTGATCAGCTTTTTTGGTCATTGCCCTGCCCAACATATCCACACATTTGGCACACCATCTCCTGTCCTTCTCTCTCCCGCGACGCGAAAGACGGCATGGTTGAAAACCCTCAATTAAGCTGCATGTCTTCCACCAGGGATATTATCTTATATTGAGGC